TAGTTATATATATATATATATATATATATATATATATATATATATATATATATATATATTTTGTATTCGCAAAAATAAAAATAAAAATAAAAGTGTTCATAACAATATTTAAAAGTAGATAATTTACAATGCAATAAGATTAATGACATAATTAAAACGCTCGTACAATGATAAATGGAAGAAGAGAACAATGCAAGAAGAAACTTGATGTAACAAGAAAGACCAATTTTTATGACTAACGAAACTGGTTATTAACCAGTACCCCATAAGATATAATCTTCTTGGCTTGTTCTGAAAGGATTTAAAAAAGAAGACTATTTTTAAGATCAAGAAGCTGAGAAGAGGGAAGGAGGGAATTAATGATTTGTTTCTATGCAAATTGTTGACAGAAACATCGAAGAGAATAGAGTATGTTTCTGTACGCATAGTATTTTCTGGAAAATATCTTTCTAAAGATAGCTCTATGGAAATTGCTTTGCAAGATAGAAATAATCATTTTTTTTGATAAGTCTTCGAAGAAAATGAAAAAAACAGCGGAGGGATTTGAGAGAGAAGTAAAAAAAGATTAATGTAATAAATTCCGCCATGTGTGAAAAAGTTCATCACACTAAACTACATTTAATCCGAATTGGAACCAAAGAAGTTCCTTGAGAAGTTGAAATTACTTTGCTTCGCTTATGCAATATATATTCAGGAAAGAGAGAGCCTGTTTCCTTCAGAAACCTCTGTTTAATTAAACTGAAAGAGTAAGAATAGTAATTCCATTTTAATCCCAAATGTAAAAGATATTTTTGCTTGAGATTGGATTGGACTGGAGAATTCTGCTTGCTAACTTTGAGGTATATGACATTCACAAGTAGGAACATTTATTTAAAAATTTCAAACTGAGATTAGTGCAGTTTGAAATTGTTTTAAATTAAAATACAAAAGTTGAAAATAGATATAAATGAAAATGATAGATTATTGTTTTCACATAATTATTAAATAAATATACACAAAATTACATATGCAACAAATCGATTAGTGAATAAAATGAATAAAACAAACAAAGGTAGTGATGTTATAAAACAAATGTAGAATAAGCTAGTGTTGAAAGTGATAATAATAGTAACTGAATAGTTTTAAATACTAAGATAATCTCTCGTTAAAATCTCTTTTTTCATACAAACACTGTCTCAATGTTATCGGGAAATCGTGTCTGGTTTCCAATACAAAATGTCATGGCGGCTGCATTCGTCACAGTGTCGAGATTGTACGACCGGCGTTTCCTCCGATCCGGGAAGTCTCGTTGGGTTGGGTCCTCTGACGAAATGTTGGCATGCTGTACATGTCGGTACAGTGGAGTTCCGCATTGATCGGCCGGCACCAAAGGAACTTTGTTCTGATTGGCTAGACTCGTCCACATTCTTGTCCCCATGATATGGGCGACAAGGATGGACGTATCCATGATGTTGATTAACTAAAAAAGGATGAAATACGTTGCACGGGAAAGAAAGAGGAGTATTTATCGATTTATAGAATTGAAAAAAGATAAGAAACTGGAGAAAGAAGTAACACTGTATAGTAAAAGATAGAAAGATAGAAAGAGAGGAGAAGAGAGGGGAAAGAAAAAAAGAAAGTGATAACGAAGGCTTATTATAAATTTATTTTAAATTTTTTGTTTCTTCCAAGTATTATTATTTATTTCTTTGTAAAAAATAGAAAAAAATCTAATATAGATATTTTTATAAAAAAATCTTTCTATCTTTCTTTTCAATCGATTAATGTATATTTCTCACTGTAACCAATCGCTCGTTTCTACCAGTCTCTAATAGTGTTACTTTTTTTTTTTCATATTATTTTTGTTATGGAAATTGATATTTGCATCAGTGATCTTCTCTCCTCTTTCTTTTTTCATCTAGCAATTGGGACATTTTATCTTCCTTCTTTTTTCATTTTCATTTCCTTACAGTGAAATTCAATATCGATCATGTTCTCAATTTTAAATATATTATAGCTAGCGTACCAAACGTATATTAATTGAATGTTCTCTTGCAAAATGGTTCTTAGTAGCTCTTTCTTTTACATTTTGAAATCCTATTTTGCAGTTATACAAATATTCATATAAAATTTTGAGATATTTTGATCAATGGTAAATTCTAAAAATTCTAAGTCTAAATTGTAATCATAATTATTTACTAATCTATCTACAAGTAATAGTAGATTTGTAATTCTTTTTAAAATGTTTTTTTTTATTAATGAAGAAATAAAAATAAATTGTGAGATTATAATTTCATTTTCTTTTTCATATCTTGTGTCATATCTTTCTTTAAATTACATATTACTGAGATGGTATAAATGAGACGGTTAAAAGAAAATCATTATAATAAAGTTCTATTTTTATGCCGAAGAATATTTTCATATCAAAGAATTCTACTCAAAGCCTTTTATTGATTAAACGACCAATGCGAGAGCGCTCGATGCACGTGGCGCCATCTTTGGAGAAAATCTCTAGTCAAGTTTCGACGAAGCCCCTTCCCTTTCTCTTTATCCCCTATCTCTCATGAAGCTGTGTGTGAGAAACGGTGGATGGAATGTGGCAAAAGAGGCAGGGGAAAATCAGGGTGAAGTGGGTTGAGACCAGCCGAGACGGGTCAACCAGTCCAGACCAGTCGGTCGCGCTTCAACAACCCTGTCCGACCCCTGGAAACCGGAATAAGGGGGGGAAACTGACTAGTATCGATCCAAACACCCATGTTACACGATACGTAACCATTTTGAATTACACGTCCGGGAGCTCATTCTAGAGGAATAGTCGCAGACCGCTGTCTCTTGTCAGAATATGTATTTTAGTTAGCTTGAGATTATTTGGAAGCAATAATGAATCTGAATAACAAGTATAATAAGAAATATACATAATATTTTAAAATCTGCATATGTATCATATTTCTTATTTTATTTACATATAAAAAATATGAAATGCAGCATAATTAATGTTTATTTTGTTAATAAAACATAATAAAAAATGTATCTTATTAATTACATGAGTTTAGAATTTTATATATGTATATTTTTTCGCTAATTTTGCTAAACATATAAAATTTATATATGTATATTTTTTTGCTAATTTTGCTAAACATATAAAATAATATATTTAATTTGATAAAATTCTATATTAATCTTATATTTTATTTTGACTAAAAGGAAAAGCTTAATCAAAAACTCATGATTATATCACAATACTGTATATTTTAATGAATACATTTGCAGACAAAATTTTAAACATTTCAAAGTGAAGATTATTAAGTTATAAAGAATCGTGGAAAGAAATCTAGCGTTTGCGTTTGCGTGAATTTCTCAGAAACACTTAATGTCAAAAGCAACTTCGTGAACGCTATAAATCTAAATGCCCTTGAACTTAAACTTCACACAGTATGGCATACGAGAATACATTTCTATGTCAATACATACTGACGTAACTCACGTTCTCTCGAAACTTGCAATCGATTCGTGCTACTCGTGAATTCGGGAAGACTGCTTTGCGTGTAACATGGACATAAGTAGAAGCTTGGGCAATTGGTAGCTAGATGGCGGCACAAATCAGTCGCTGTCATGGAGCCTGAGTGGTCCAACCAGAGCTCGAATCACGTTCGTAATCGAAGACATGGCGGCAGCATGGCGGTAGAACGTACGTCGTTGGTATTCCAAGCATGATTTTTTCCTAACACCCTGCCGAGAGTTTTTTTATATATTTAACTCAGTTCTAGTAGTGTCTACATTTGTGCGAAAATAAGACTGGTTTTCACTCGTACGCAATACTCATTAGCTCTAATTTCAATTTATTTATTAGCTTCTGTTTAAGCTTCCTTCATGAGAAATTATATTTAATGTTTATTTATTATATAACATACGTAAGACAATTTATTTTATAATATAAACTGAATAAAAACCATTATGATTGAAGCTTCTCTTAAAAGTTACACATCACAATTTATTTCTATCCAATATGCATATATTAATAAGATTTACTTGAAATATTTAAATAAATTAAATATTTAAAAATATTTAAATTTATAAATATTCAATGGCAATAGAGTATTATTGACGCATATTGGTTAATACGCATATTGGTTAATTCAGCTTGAAATATTATTATATGTAATCTTTATTTTTTTTCAAATTATTTGAAATTATTG